GATGTTATATTTAAAATAAAGTGGGTGGGGGTAGATAGTGGGGTGGGTATATATGTTATTTTAATTTTATAAAATCATTATTAATTAAAATTATAAAAACCTGATAATTGAATAAAAAACTTAAAAACCTGAATTTTTAAAATGTAAAAGAAAACACATGGTTTGGTGTAATTTCCTCAACAAGAAAAACTCTTTCAGCCCAAAACCAAATAAAAGTAGTGAAATTTGGCTTGTGCTTGATACCCATTTTGAGAAAAGAATAAATTCTGGAATAATGATTGATGGAAGAATGTGTGGTTAAAAAGTAAGGAGAATTTTTTGATTTATACGTAATATTATTTTATTAATAGAATGTGTGGTTGAAACGAAAAATGAGAAAAAAAAAGAGAAATAGAATTTTATACTATATTAAAGAAGGATAGCTGCAATAGTATTCCTGCCTAAAATGCTGCCCCATTTTCCCGTCCAAGGGAAGGGAAAAAAAATAAAAAAAAAGAAAAGAAAATATCTACCAAGAAAACTGGTAAAATGGCGTACAAAATTGAAACAATTCACGCCACCATTCATTGTCAATCAGTTAAGGATCCACATAAAAAAAATCATCTACAGTGATGAGGTACTTAAGAGTTGCAGCTTTTGAATTATAGTGGGTCCCACTTTTGTATTTTTTTAAAAATCAAATTGTGCATTTATTGGCTGGCTCCCAAAAATAATACTCACATCGTTTGAAACTTATTTATCTCAATTTCAAAACCTGAGACTGCCTTCTTATCGTTTCTCTCCGTCTTTGTAGAGCCTTATCTCTATCTGTGTGTAGAGCCCCCGCATACTTTGTTTTCCTATGCTATCATTTCTTTACGAAATTATTTGAATTCAACATAAAATAACCTAATTTTAACGTGCAACTTAAGTAACCAAAATGTAAACTAAATAAACTTTATTTCTAATTTTTTTACATTGAGTTGCTTAATAAAATCAATTCTCGTGACCATTTTGTAAATCTTGTGAGTTCAGTACCCATTTTCTACTTAAGTAATTAGATGATAACTGTTTGTGCAATTAACATAAATATATATATCAAGGTTGCATCTTTCCTGTAACACTCTTACCTTCCTTCTTGCAAAATACAATTTCTCCAATCTCCACACTTATCTTCATTGTCTGCAAACTACAACACCAATTTAACCAAATAAGGTATGTATTTTTAAATTAAAGGCAAAACTCTGCAGGCGTACAGATCTGCCAATTCTGTAGCAGATTGAAGGCATCGCTGAAGGCTCCGCACATGGAGGCACCGAGGAGGCCAGATCTTCCGAGTGCGGAGGCTGGTGCTTCTGCACGCCGAGTCTAGACCGTATCAAATCCATTCTATCAGAAAAAACTGGGAAAAAATATTTAGCCATTGGTTCACTGAATTATTAATTGCATTTCCATAATTTTTAAGGGAAAAAAGAGAGAGTACAGCTTTTTGAGGAATTCAACCTTGACGTACATCATCATCTATTATCATAAACACTATTAACGTTATTAAACCTAATATTTGGTTATTGATACAGGTTTTGTGCAATTTGGCTGCTGTTTTTAATCAGTCAAATAATTTTATCCATCACTGATTTCTATCCGCACGCAGAGGCTCCAGTATTTTTTGGTACCTTTCTTTTTCCCATATTTATATTTATATAGGATTTACATATTTATATATAAAGAATTTATTAATTTGTGCAGATGTCTCTTGAATATATTCTTCCTCCAAATCGATGGTTCTCTGCTACTATCACCCAATTTCCAATTAATCAGTATATTAAGATTTTTATAAAACTTATTGATGAAGATAAACAAGCTTTAGTATTGTGCAGTAATAGCAATTTTTTTGGATTTATTTATGGAGCTAACTTTAAAACGGAGCAGCAACAATTCTGTAGCAAATTGATACACGAATTTATATTGAAAATTGTTGACTCTGGAAAAACAAATGAAATATGGATAAGATTAGGTGATCATTTTGTAAGATTCGGTATGTAAGAATTCTGTCTTGTCACTAGATTACCCTGTCATGAAGTGTCTGCAGAACTTGACTCCAGTGACGAACGACTTAGAAGTGTTTATTTTAATGGAATGAGAAGAATCACTATGGTAATACTTTCCGAAGCATTTCATATGTGTGAAAATGCGGATGATAAATTTAAAATAGGATTGGTCATGTTGGTGGAGTGTATTTTAAAACCAGTTAGAAGGTACATTGATCAAAAAATATTGGGTATGGTTGAACACCTTGAACAATTTCTTATGTATCCATAGGGCCGCATATCATATTTTCTTTTGTTGAATTCATTGCAACGATCACACAGAATGCAGCAAAACCAACAAACAGAACGAAAATATTCATTACATAGCTTTCCGCTTGCATTCTAAGTATTTTATTTATATATTTTAATTTTGATTTATATACTAAATAGATTTTTTTCACCTAATATTTATTCCCAATTATCTTGCAGTGTTGGATATATGAAACATTTTCAATGATTGGACAACAATTTGACCGTCGTAGACACATAACATTACAATGCTCAAGAATGCATAAATGGAAATCAAACAAATTCTTAACTGAAAAAACAGTGAGAGAATTTTTAGCTTGTTTGACCACTGAAGAGGTATTTCACAGTCCAATATACATTTAATTCTTTAATAATATTTATTTATTAAATTGTTTGTTTTAAAAAATGACAGTATATAATTCCAATATTTCATTGTGATTATAGATTGAAGTAGTTGCAGTACTAACGCCTACAGAAGAAGAATTAGAAATAATGTGGTACACAACACTCTTGCTACCACCAGATAATCAACAACATGTATTATATTCTATTATCAGTGGGGAATTCCACAATGTAGCAACAGAAATCCTACCTGATACCACACATGAACATCAGACAAAGGTTCCGGATACTTCGTTTAGATTTCAGCCAGGATTTTCTTTTTCTCACTTTGGTTATGTCACTAAAGAATACATGGATGAACTTTTTAGCATCTATAAGCAGCATTTAGTATCGGATGTGTCTACTTTGTTCGATAATTTAAAGACACACATGGTTGGAGAATCAAGAAAACACGAAGTTAGATACTAAATAATTCTCGACAACCAACAACAACTGTTTGAACAACAGCGACAATGGCAACATGATCACCATGAAGACATCAAATCCATGCGATCCTATGTAAATACCATCATAGATTCAATCAAATCTTATATTCATGAACATAACAAGAACGTGATGGATCAATTTTCTGGTTGGAAATCCAATATGGAAGTTATTATAAGCTCTCTACAACAAGATGTTCCTATCCATAAGAGTCCAGTTCATGGTGATCAACCTATGCATCCTTCAAGCTCTTAACGAGTTCATCAAGTTCAAAAATTAACCACAGATAAAAAAAAAGGGAAAAATAGTCAATCTTCATCGTCATCCAAATATCCTTTAGAAGACTATCTCATGGATAGATACATAACTATTAGATATTGTATACAGAAGCATCAATCTAAGTAAGAAATCTATTTCCATTTTATTCATTCACATATTACAATTCTCATTCCATCTTATTCAAATTAATTCACCTTTCGTTTTGCAGTTAGCTTTGGAACGATAGAAGTGGAAACATATGGGCGAGATATGTTAAAAGCTATACAGGATACATCCGAAAATATCCATGTTGCGGTTAGTTAAATTTACGAATGATATTAATAATTACGGTCCATAGTTAACGTATCTAATTTACTTTATCTATTTCATTAGATTATTAACATAGAATTAATGTTGTTGAGACGACTTATTCATAATGGATCCCCTTGTGTCTCTAAAGAGTATGCAATTCTAGATTTTTCATTCGAAGATGAATGTGCTCATCATATGATATGGCAAGACATTGTGAAACAAGG